GTGGGCCGGGGGGCAGCGATCGCTGCTCAGGGACAGGCTGGGCATCGGTAGATGGGTGGTGATCGGTTGCATTACTCCCCCCCCCCCAGGTTTTGTTTCTCTCTCTCTCTCGTTGTTTTACTTTCCATTACAAATTATTAATATTAATATTATTTCAAGTATTAAACTGTTCTTATCTCAACCCACGACTTTTCTTACTTTTGCTCTTCCAATTCTCTCCCCCCATCCGCGGGCAGTGAGTGAGCGGCTGTGTGGTGCTTAGTTGCCAACTGGGGTTAAACCACAACAACATCTAACATGCACTTATTAAAAGATGGCCAACTTTTTAAAGGTGACCCTTTTTTTTTTTTCCATTGTAAGACCCTCTCTGCCTTGCTTACAGTTTTGCCAGGCTTTAATGATTTGTACTGAGTCACTAAGTATGTGTGTCTGGCTGAATTGTTTTGTAAAACTTCATCCAAGAAGGCTCAGTTGCTTATGAGCGTGTGACTAAGAAAAATGTTTTCCCATATGAAAATATTGGTATTGTAGACTTCTTTTGTTGGGGTGAGGGGCTGTTTTTCTGCAAATATTCCATCTCTAGGGCAAACATGAGATTTCAGTAAGAGAGATTATGTTTCAGAAATATGCCTGGTCACATCCTGGAAGAAATTCATCTAATTTGGAGGTCTGAGGCTGGAACAATCTCAGTGAATTCTCAAGGACTGAGAATAAATGAGAGTAAAAGGACTGAGAGATGGATTTGATACAGAGTCTATGAGTGAGTTGTGACAAACTGGGAATAGGAACTAGGAGTGAACAATGCTCCAAGTGTTGGAGGTCTTTGCTTTCTGTTCAACCCATGGAATACAATCTGAGAAAGTAGCCTGGAGGGGGCACAGCTGCAGACAAAGAAAAATTGTCCCGTGGGTGAGGGAGCAGGATGCTGCTCTGGAGAAATGAGGTTTCTCCCTGCCTTTGCCACAGGATTCCTCTGTTGTGAGGGAGATCACCTGGAGCAGAGCGGTCACCATGTGTGTGCTTCTTATTTACTGGGTGTCCTGCTTGATACCCACGAGGCCGAATTGCAGAATTCCTAAGTTCTCTGTTAAACCAGTTTGAGATCAAGCTATGCAAAATTAGGAGGTGCTTGCTTCAGATCCTTGTCTGTAAAAGTGGAGTGTTAGTACTCCCATACCTTATTAGGGTGCTGCAGAAATACATGTTTCTTGACTTGAGATGAACGTACAGAAAAGGAAACCTAAGCATTTTAAGTTCAGAAGAATAAATAAAGAATGGGGTCAGACACTGCAAAGAAAACTAAATATTGAATAACTGCTCACTAATTGAGTGGCATCAAACTGTGCACTGAATAAATGAGGAATACAAGGGGGAAACTAGTATTTTAATGTTATTTAACCGCTGATTTTATACAGATGTACAGGAAGGCTGAATTGAGTTTGGAGAAGTAATCTTCATTCTGATACCTCCTAATTTTTTGAGAGCATAATTTTGCAACCTCAATGTTGAAGAGCATTTTTGTGTGACTTTGAATATACACACTTTTAAAATGTCATTACTGTTATTTAGCTAATTTATTTAAAGACAGTCCTGTTCTTTGAGGTGGATGCATGGGGAGAACAGCACTTGCATCAAAGTTTGAGCATGTGTCTTGTTGAATTAGGTGCTGGGGGAATGCAGAAGAGGGGTTGAGATGTGCAGCCACACTTTTCCTCCTTGGAGCACTTTACACAGCGCGCCAAGTTCTGCAGCGGCTTTTGTGTAGTGTATCCTGAAAGGATTTGTAGTGTGTTCCCCAAAAGCCAGTTGTATGGAACTGCTTTTTATGAGTGTTTGAGCATTGTGCAGTGGATCACACCAGTTAATGCCTGTGTGAAAGGTGTCTAGGAAATTGGCCGGTTATGCTGAATCATGATTAAGCTGTGCAGAAATCAGGTGTACAAATCTCCCATGACCAGGGCTTGCGTGACTAATGATACCAATGATAAATCACTCTGTTACAGACCTAAGTGTTTCAGGAAAATGTCTTCATAAAGAAGAAGTCCGAAGTGGGGGTGTATGAGGAAGGGATCTTTTACTTGAGGAAAGAAAAAAAAAAACAATGGGGGAGTGCTAATTCCAGAAAGTCTTGGTCTTCACTGAAATTCGAATTTTCCATAATGTGTATTACAGCGCCTTGGAGAAACTTCATCAACAGGCTCAGTTTTGCCATGTTTTTAGTTGTATAAATTTTCTGTAGGCTGCCTCAGAAAAATGAGGTTGGTTTTCCGGAGGGTGTGCTTTCTGTTTGATTAGTGGGGGAGGCTGTTGTCTGTAGACTTGTGGCCTCACTGGCTAAAGACTTTGTATGGTGGATGCAGGAGAAGATTTCAAGAAGAGAAGGAATTAATTGCATAGCGAAGGCAGGACTCCAGGGTCATTGGGAGCTTGGTGGTGTGCAGCGATTGTTCTGCTGAAGACTCAAAAAGTAACACTTTTAAAATTGCTGTAGATGACATGCTGGATGAATTGATGACTCCCAGGGTACTGGGAGCAGCACTTTGTGAATACACTGAAGTTCCTGTTCATGGGCTAAGCCACGAACAAGAAAAAAGTATATGGCCAAAAAAATGCTGACCTAAAACAGACTGATACTATTTTATTCTTTTAAGCTGGAACTAAAGTTAGAAATGAAATTGCATTTTCCTGTTTCAGAAACACGAGTGTTAGATTTTGAAAATGTCAAAACCAAATGCATGGATTTTTGATGTACGTTGTTTAAAAAGCCAGAATTCACAAAATCATAAATTGTGAGTTGGTTGAGTGTTGATGGCAAGAAGAGAATCCCTTTCTGGGGTTTGGTGTCTTCTTCACACACCACCATGTGAAAATTTCATGCTCAGGTGTGTATCCCAGCCCTGTAATCACTTTTAAGCAGTAGGAAGTGATCACGGGTGGATGTGGTTCCCTGGAGCCTGGCATTCCAGAAGCCCAGGGTATAAATTACTTACAACATCAAACAATCCATAGGTTTCCCATTGCTGCATTTCCCCATGATTGTCTTGCCAGCCCGATTAAATTCTTTTCCCATCTTGCTCTTTCCAAAAGTTATAAACAATTAGAGTTTATACAGGATAAAATAAATTAAAAGCAATTTACAGTCAAACTTTTTTGGCCTTTCTGTGGCATTTGGAAGAAGGGGAGGTCTCTCTCTGCTTGTCTGAGATAACAGATCCAGCTGCAAAAACCAGTGTGGCCTGCATCTTCCTTTGGCCATGATATAATTGAATGTTCCAGATGAGCGTGAAAAGTGCCTAGAACTCTGAGGCAGAGTGGTGCATCTCTGGTGTTTTTTGGGTACTGTCAGAAGCAGAGGAAGAAACCTGTGCGACCCACTTCTGTGAAAGGCTTATCAGAGTGTGACTCCAGGAGGTCCACCACAAGCACAATTCACGTGGCTGCAGCGCTTCTCTCACTGACAAGCTGGAAGGGGTCAGACTCTTGGAAAGGTGCCTGGTTAGAAGAGTAACAAGATGCTCCGTGCGGAGCCAGCTTTGTGAACTCTACTCTCTTTACATAGCAAGTTCTGTCCCAACAGGCAGGGGAAATAGTTCCTGGGAAAGGCATTTTAAGTTCAACTGAAAGTGGTATTGGTAAGGGATAGGGGTACATTTATTGGAATGTGTTTGGTATCCCATCAAGACCATTTGCAAACAGTCTTTTGAATAGGTTTCCTGCCAGCTGTGTTGTTAGAAAGGGACAGTTTGCTGAAATGTTTCATGTCAAATGACTAAAGAAACACTTTCCCTAAATATTAATATACTGAAATTCATAGGTGTTGGATTCCTTGTGTTACTGAAAGAAACAGTGGAAGCATTGCTTGAGAAGATAACTCGCTATGAGAGTCAAAGTAAGCCTTTTCTTTCTTCACTCGGCAGGTTCCAATCCATCAAAATCTTAAAGAGCTCCTCGCCATCCGGACGGAGCTTCAGAAGAAGGTTGAAGATTTGCAGCGGGAAGCTGCTACACGATCCATTTCTTCCTCCTCTGATAGAGGTTCATCTCCTTCCCATTCAGCCACGCCGGTGCACACCTCTGTGTGATGTGTAACAAAAGCCATGTGAAAAAATTTGTGTCAGGTAATACAGAGAGGAAGGTGAAATGCTTTTCCCATCACAAAAGGATTGTGAGTGACTTGTAATTGCTATGATCTACATGCCTTACTTTGTGTCTGATATTATCATGATGAGGCCAAAAAGAGCTTCAATAGATGTGATATATTTTCTTGTTGGCAGTTCCCACATGTGTTTTGACATCTCTAGCTAAATCACCAATTGTGAAATTAAACTTTGTTTTGAGCAGCTAACAATTTAACCATCCTAAAAAGGAATCCATCTGCCAAGCAGACAGAAAAATGCCTCTCACACTGCCTAGGGTGCCATGCCTGGTTGAGAGAATCAGATTAAATGCCACATGATGCTTACACAGAACACAGAACATTTTTCTGAATGGGAGCTCCTTATTTCACTCAGTAATATATATATTTTTTTTTTGGCTAGAGCAATTTATTTTTGTTAGGTAATTAATGCACTTGGAAATTGATTTTAAAATAAATGTTTTCCAGTGTAGTTAGTTTTACATTTCGACTAAATATGCCATTAAAAGTGGATGAAGTTAAACTGGATTTATCAAGTACACCACACTGACTTGTATGATGTAATATATTTGGTAAAGCATGCATGGTAGGTTTTTTAATGCCTTTTGTACAAGTTGAAATAAAGTCTTTTGGCTGTTTAGCTTATTGTTCAGTTTCAGCCTCCTGAGCTAGGGGGTAAACCTATTCCTGTCAAAGTCTTGTACAAAGTAAAAGTTTGTTTTCTAGCAAATGGTAATATTTGGGGTTGGAATGACACCCAGCTGTGTAAATTGTATAGTCTGTATAGCTCCACATTTTGTTAAGCGTGTTTTGTTTTAAAGTATACACACAAAATGCAAAGCTGTGTCTGTTTATACACACGTTGTGTGATGTTAACCATATGCATACTCCTGTGGTTTTAAGCTGTAAATTCAGAAAATGGATCCTGCCTGTCCAAACTCTTTTGAAGACCTTAACTTGTAATGACTTTGTTTGACAAAGTTTTTAAATAATATGATCTTAATTGGTTTTCTTGAAATAAAGCCTCTTGGCTTTTTGTTTTCTAAATTGCTACTAGCATTTTTTTCTATAAAATGAATAATTTAACTGTGTTTTCATATAAAATATACATTCTCTCTTTCTTTCATCTCCCCCCCCAAATATTCATATCAGAGAGATTTGATTACTATAACATCCAACCTTTTAAAAAATTATTCAGTGGCTTTCTTGGAAGGCCCAGAAATGGTGCATGCTGAAGATCTTCCCTGGGTTGCTTTCCTCGCTGTGTTTCGCGAGAATCTGGTTCTTCTTAGGGCACTTAAAATACTGCAGCTCTGCTTTTTGACGCGTGCTTGTATGGCTCCAAGTTCTGCTGGTGGGAATTAAGCCCCGTTCTTAAGAGCCAATTGATTCTATATGCTGACTGTGGTTTTTACTGTCTATGAGTATCCGTTTATTACTGCGCATTTGTTCTTAATATGCGATGGCACTTTCCTGTTTCTCTGCATTCATATATGTAGCATGCAGTTGATGAGTAAGGTGAGCTGCTGAGCACTTCTGCAACTTCAACTGGAAAGGCTAATGTGCTGTATCCAGTCTTACAAGTTTACTGTGCAGCGCAGGGTATTTCAACGTGTCCTTTTTATTATAATGAATGCTTTTTATCATAGATACTCACCTACAAGAACAAAGTTCAGGAAGGCTTGCAACGTTGCATCTCTTAATCAACCTCAGGCTTTTTATAAATAGATGAAAGATGTTTTCCTGTAAAAATGGTTCTGCTGAACAGTATGCCAGCAGTGAGTTTTACATTGCCAAAATATGTTGAGCTGGTATTGAATTAAACTCTTCCACACTTCGGATTTCGTTGACATTTTAACTGTATATTAAAGTAAAGCACATTATCTCTAAAATGCAGTGCTAAAGAAAATCTTTTGAAGTTTTCCTCTTTATTGCTGCTAATAATCACAACATTTTCTCTAGAATTATTGTAAAAGTGATGACTGGATTATCTTGGGCATTCTGAGATTTTTAAAGCTTAGATTCCTAGAGCTAAAATCTGAGGACTCGGTTTTGCATAGAAGAATACCAGTTATTTCAACTGACTGGCTGTTTATCCACAAGTTTCAGCATAGCTCGGTGAGTCTTCTCTGATCTGAAGGGAGATGACAGGGGGAGGGGTCCTGCTCTGATACGTGTAAGCACAATGGATGTTTTTGTATATACTTAGCATGGCAGTTTTCAAAGGTATTATATAGCTCATATATGCTAGTTAAAGCATAGTTTTATATTGAAGAGGATTACTGTCTTTGTACTTAGTCTGATTCCTGATAATCAGATTTTTTCCTATTGATTTAACAACTAATTCTGTCATTATTTTTTATTTTTTAATAAGGCAGTATTGAACTAGTTGAGGAAAGACCAGAACCCTGTTCCCTGCCTGATGCACCTTGGACAGAACTATTAACTTCTAATTCACAAGCTGGATCTTCTTTTGCTTTAGTTTTTGGTTTTGACTCTGCTGAGTATAAAGAGAATATGCAAAGACAGCACGCAGTTAAATTTGACCTGTAGAATTTTCCTGTTGTCCCAGAATGGGCTGAAGCCTTGGTAACCAACTGAAACATTTTTTGGTTGTAATGTTAAGTGAATCATCAGCATCAGACACATTGCCATTTTAGTCCTGTTTCAGAGCTGAATTACACTTTTTCCTCCTTTGTAGATAAAATTTTTTTGTTGTTTCATTAAAATGGAAGAAGCATTTTAAAGCTGGTAAACACTCCTATCTGCCTGGTTTTGTTCCCTGCACAGGCAGCCTTCCTCTCAAGGAGTTAAAGCTTTAAACAAGAAGTGTTTGATTTTTCTCTTATTTTCAGAGAAAAGCTGTACTACTTCATATGCTGTATGTAGTAACACCAAGAATGGCTGGTTCTCTAAAAGCTGGAAATAAAGGATCAACAACTCCCATTCATTGAGCCCCACAGCAGAGTACAAAGTAAAATGGGCAGTTTAGAGTATTCCCTACGTGAAACATTTATGTTAAAAAGCAAAAAGGAATGTCTATTTGCTGAGAGATCACATCTGCTGAACTACACGGGTATCATATTAGAGATCTTTTTACTGCCAGGTCTTGCGCAGTTGGGAAGAAAGAATTTTATTTCTACAAGAAGTATGAGTCAGAATTAGCTAGTTTGAAATATAAACCACCTTTTTTGGCTGTGAGACTAAACACTGCATCATTATACAAAGGTCAAAAGCTTAGTTTGCACTGCATGGGAGATTCATCTACTGGATGTGAAATTCCAAAGAAAACTGCAGGAAACCTAGGGCAGCGAAAAGGACCAAAAACCAGCGGTGCCGAGTGCAGCCAGGGACACAGGGCACTACCTGGAGTGGAGTTGCTGGGTGACCTGAGGAGAGCGTGTGTGCACGCAAATACTTCATTTTTACCATTAAATTAAAGTTTTCATAATGATACTTGTTTTCTCACGAAGTCTAATTAGTTTTTTTTTAAATAAAGACTTCAGTGTAGTTACAGAAGAGGTTATGTACAATAAGGATATAGCCCACCATTTGCAGTTTACTTCCAACATGAAAAAACACACAAAAAATCAAGTCTAAAATCTCTTAGTAGTCAACTTGTTTTATTTGGCGTTTTCCAATGGTAGTCAAATTCTGATTTTTACCCCCACGATCCTTACATGCACATTAGCAAAATTAATCTTATCTTTTCATAGCGTAACATTCAACCTTCATTTGGTATAGATCGCTTCTGCATCAGCAAACAATATGCTTTGCTTTTAAGTAAGGACTTCACTCAAAAGAAAGGATTCTCTAATTTCACAATACCATTGTTTCTGAACTTCATTTGTTCCTGAACCTCCTTTGTTGCAGAAGCAAATTTTTGAAGCCTTAGCCTGTCAACTCATCTTACTTTTTCAGAATTTGAAATGGTATTATGGACTAATTCCATTTTTATCACAACAAATGAGTAGGTAAGAATGACAGTATAGCACTTGTGAGAGTTCCTTAGTGGGGTTGCATGAAAATAACTGAATTTATAGTGCCAAAATATCTGAAATTCATGTCAGAGTATTCTCAACTAAAGAATCTAAACCGAAGAAACTACTGCAGTATTGCCAAATCTCAAATGAAGGAACTACTACAGTATTACCAAAGGAAAATGCAAGTAATTGGTAGAATAAACAACATGAAAAGCGCTAGTTCAATTCTTTCAATTCTGTTTTCTCTGTAATTGAGAAACCTTTTCTGAATCATTCTATTAAAAATAGCTTTAGTTAAGCTGAAGAAGTGAGGTGTGAAAAGAAAAAAGACTCGCAGCACACGTAGTACGTAAACTTTCAGGGCAGCTATAGATACAGTTTTTCGACTCATGGAAAAAAAAAAAATCCCATTTTTCCAGTGCTTTATGGCCTTTTTTTATAAAGGATGAGAAAGTTCATACCAGTATGCAGAACCTAAGTGCAGGATTTTTAAAAATTCCATATCCAGATTTAAAGAGAATAGATACTAATTAAATGAAAGTAGTTAGAGAGGTCAGAGCTGGGTCAGTTGTTTCAGAACTTGGATCACTACTAGGAAAATACACAGGAATCCTCTCAGTTGCTATAATGCCCAAAATATAGATGATGTATAAACTCCCTATTTCTCAGAGACTGGTCTCAGAGTTCAGATGGACAAGGAGACAGACTGCAATAAAAAAGTAATTTGAGCCTTTACAGGTATTTCGCACATTAAGACTTTGACTCTTGTCCAGTTTTGAAGAGAAGACCAAGTTTAATTTCTTCACTACGGTATTTGTCAATATTTTCCTATGTGAAATCCTACAGAAAGAGATCTTGAATTCTGTTACTGTAAATGTTTGAAGAAGTGCTCCCTTTCACTGTGCATTTACGGTTTTCCACATACCAAATTACACTAAGGCATAAGTATTCACCAAAGTCATAGAAAGGGCCTTGGGGAAAGGAGCAACTTGTGAGTTCTAAAAACTGGGGTTTTTTTTTCAGTGAAAACAGCTTTTTTTGCCCTTTTTTTTTTTTTTAAACTGCAGTATTCATGAATTAGACACGTGTTTCTCATATGTTCTAGTGTAAGAGTTTCCCAAAGGAGGGGTAGGCGCTATATTCTTTAAGCAGTGCTGGACACTCCATTGCACTGTCCACTAGACAAACAGGGAGCGCAGGGTGACAGAAATGCAATAAACCCGATGATCTGCATCTACAGAAAACATGGTCATCAGCCAAAGGAGAAACGGAATTACGGTCACTTGAGCTAAGCTAGGAAAACGGCTCCTAGTTATCATCAATGCCGTGTCGTAACACGTCATTTACAAGAACTTTCTAAAAACATTTTTCATGCTACAGCTTTCAAATGTGTTTGGCTAAGTACAAAAAACAGGCGACGGTGTTTGGGAATGGAGGTACACAAACTCAGCTGCGTGGCTTCATCGGCATCTGAGCTGCTGCACGTGACGATCCGAATCCTGCAGACCACGCTTCCTCCATGAAAAGCCTCTTCTGGGAGTAAGCAAACACAGAGTGCATCCCATCTCTACTTCCTCTGCTTCCACTCTCTGAGAGCCAATAAATAAATATTTTTATTTTCTAACCCAAACACATTCATAAAATAAAGCAGCAGTAGTTCGTAGCAGTATTGTAGCCTAAGTGTTCTGAATACACGTGAGGCACCATATATCCCTAGAACTCGTCTCCCTTATAAAACACTGTAGCTGTTCTGCTAGAGCTAGTGTAAGGCTTTAAAAATGCAAGCGTTAAAAAGAGCATAAAGAATTGTGCAGCTATTGCAAAACACTTAACCATGTTACTAGGCAATTTCCTTTCAAATGGAGCTGTTAGGCAGCAATGCTCCTAGGCTGATTCACCTCCTGGCAAGGCCTTCTCTAAGTCATGCCTACCTGAAAGCTGTGAATTTGTACATCAAACTGAAAAGGCTTTTTTTTAATACACATTCACAAAATACGGGATTTGCAAAACAGTACCAAATGCATACATTTCAGGTTTATATATAAATAGTGAGTGCCTCTTATA